AAGGTCCAAGTTAAATATACTTACAGAATTTTTGCTCGCAAAAGAGTGCTCCACTTGTCTCACAAAGAAAGGGAAAGGCGAAAAGCTAGTCTTAAAGCTCCACTACTTTAGAGATGAGAAGAAGAATGTTTGACTACGAATTTGTCTATAAGCTCACATGCGGATTAGTAGATATTGACTTCGATCTACTACTTAACAGATCCACAACTACAGGACGTACCCATTCACATAACATCGAAATTTTGCGAGAAAAAACTAGGTCAGCGGAATTCCGAAACTCGTTTACTCAAAGAGTCATTTCTGACTAGCCACCTGCTGTGGTGAGCTCTAACTCAATTGAGTCGTCTCGAAGAAAACTAATGAAAGTATTAGTCGGTCAAAAGTTGTTCTAATTGCATGAAGCAGCCGTTTATCCAGTTTGTTGATTCACATGAAAACAAGAACAGAAGCTGAGAATTGATCCTTACAGGACTGAGAGGTGGTCTTCTTTTTCACAGGACTCTCCTTCTAGTTTTTGTGGTTCGATCACTGTTGTGGTTCATACTATTAGTTCAGGCACTGTCATGTTCTGGCAAGCTATACTCTCTGAATTTGGTCCCTCCTATGTCCTATGTCGACACGTGGGTCATGTTTTGTATTGCAATGTTGGCGGGCCACTGCTCTCCACTATTAAGTTCCCCACTCCATCACCTAGGCACACTTGCACCTCCTTCCCTTCGTGAGCCATTACAGAGATGCCTCTCTTTTCCAAATGTCAAATGTCAAAGTAAGATTGGGTTAACGTACCGGGTAAGGCAGTGAATTTCAGCACATAGTGAATGGCAATGATAGCGGTATCTCCGCCGTCTCGATTGTAGTTCTGCGTTGGTGGAGCGCCGTCGGGAACCCGAATAACGCACTTGGCAAAAACCTGCGGATAATCATAGACTGAGGCTCTAGACTATATAAACATTGTTTCGAAGTGACCGGTGGGGATTGTTCACTCACCTCTTTGTGTCGAGCTTTGACTTTTCCCAATGGAACCATTTCGATCAAGTGTTCGCTCAACTTCTTCTCATTGACGTGCTCATACCTTAATTAAAGACATAGTGTTCCCAAGCTGACGTCTGAAAATGAACGTCCACGATTTTTTTCCAACATGTCTCCTGCTGTAATAATGCGCGTCATCGTTGGTTACTTTGTTAATACTGCTGCACCTCTCCAGGTTTTCGGATAAACAGTTCTTCCAATAGCCTACTACATATTCCGATGTGGTCGTCTTTTCAGGGGTCTAAACGTGATACGAGTTTAGACAATAAACATTTCCATATCATCACTCAATGAAGTGTAACATTTCCCAT